GAATTTTATTATAATATATAAATATCGTACTAACAGTTTGATACCATTTTTCAAGAACATAAGATGGAACAGTTGCCCAATAAATCAGTTGCATAACAAGAACCCCAGCCAGACAGCGACTATACTGGGCGTCTTCCGATCTTCCGATTTTCCGATTTTCTGATTTTCTGATTTTCCGGCTCGGCTGCGCCCAATTTGCCGAGGCGTGAAAGAGTGGAACCAAGCGGAGTTTCTTTTGGCTGATCAGAGTTGGGTAATGCCCCATGATGAAGGTCGACATCTGGTGGCGGGGAGTTGAAAGAGAGGAAAAGTGTGGCCCGCTAACCAAGTGGAAAATCCACCTGATGTGGCACCAAACGGCGCCGACGCCAACTGTTGATTCATCCAGCCATCTCGGCCAGTTCGTGTCTTAAGTCTTTTGTTTTTTGCGTTGATTTTTTGTGTTCCATAGCTTCGCGCTTCGTCGCCAAAAATGTTTCCGCAATTTGGCACTGCACTTGGCACTTGGCAGTTGCCAGTTGGCAGTTGGCAGCTGTGGGAGCTCCTCTTTGGCTGCTCCAATTTGCCAGCTGATGGCTGGCAAACCAGCCGTCTCCGCCCCAGAAAAGGTGGCCAAAAAAAACTAACCTCCGACTGACATTCGGTCCCAAAAGAGAGTGAAAGCTGCACGAGCACATTGCTAACGTATCGCATTAAATTTCAGCTCAGCTGCCACTTCGATCCGACTTCGAGACTTCAAGACTTCGAGACTTCTTCGACTTCGACATGGGCCAATGCAGGCAATGTTGTTCATTGCTCGCTCGTGTTTTAATTTCGTGTTGTATAAAGTGTTGTTTTTACCACTCTTCGCCCCCCATTTTCATTGTCAGCGTGCGGGCATGCAACTTATACCCCCCCTTTAAAAATACTAAGGCGTATTTCATAATTGCGCCTGAGCTGGGCCTCCTAAATAAAAAAGCTAAGAGCTGAGAGCCCGATGCACATATCAAGCGAAATTAATCATAGTAATTGCCGGCGCTGAATTCGACTTTGATTTGCGCGCTGCGTGTAAATGAACTCCGGCGGAGAGTTTGGGCTTGAGCTCTGTGGGAAAAGCCGCATTTTTTGGCAGCCACTTGGCCCTCCTCGGGCGCCATCTGTGTCAGCGGTATATGCAAAAATGCCAGCTATGTGTGATAATTGTTGTGTTTTACTTTCGAACTGAGGCACTTGGAAAAATACATGTACCTAGACTTTATTTTGATCAAAAAAAGGGGGCTGGGCATACGCATGGTGTCCCTGTTTGGGCGCCATATGTATAAAAATATAAAAATAATTCTAAGGCATTTTAAAATTGTAAGATCTTTATGGTTATGATCCAAAAACTGTTTAAACCTTTTTATTTGCTATAAATAAAAGTATCTTCAAAATGTAAAATTAAAAATAATTATATTTACACTGGCGCCCGAGCATGTTTTTTTTAAATGAGCTACTTCTCATTTAAACCTATTTAGTATACTAAAACAATTGCCTACCTCTTTTTAGTAAAAATAAAAATATATTTAAGGAACATTTTCCTCTCTGTGAAATTTCCATTGCCACTGGGTTGGGAAATCTTGAAAAGGGGCCAGGCCAGCCGGCTGACTTTGGCATACTTTCGATGCCTAGCGGATTGATTAGCATCTGTGGCCCCTCAGCAGCTCCCTCATCTGGCATTCAACTGGTGTACCATGCGTGGGACTCACTTTTATTGTGCGCTGGGTAGTACCTCCGCATATATTTCTTATTCTCCCCGATAAACTGGCGACAGTTCTTGTGTGGGCAAAAGTGTCTCTGGTTGCAAGCGTGGTTGCCTCGTTTGCACTCTAACAACTGCAAACTGTCAGTTACCAGTTACCATTTACCAGTTAGCTTTATGCCCAGTCAAAAATTTGGGGCGGGACAGACAGAAGTGTGACAAGGAAATGGAATTTTTTAAGGCGAAGGATTCCAAGCCAACACCCCCAGGAAATTTGAATAAACCTACCAGTTTTATGAAAGAATTTATAGGCTATAGCTATGATGCATACATTTTTCTGAAAGTACTCACTAATTTGTAAGTATTTTTCTGCCGTAATCTCATGGGTGACCTAATGGATTAATTACCTCAAAGTCTCACCCAGAACATCTTCCCACATCACTCACTTCTGAGGTGACCCGCCATTAAAGGCTGTGACCGCATTTGGATCCGCTTCCCATTCAACTGCAAAACAGCAGCTGTTGCTAATTTGTTAAGAAGGCCATTAAAAAAACAGTGCAAAATTCTCTGGCGTGTGAACCATCATAGAATATATTGTGGAAGTAGTATATAACAAATGTAGTTGAGTGACCAGGTAAATTAGCCAAAGGAATTGGGTCAGCCAGTGGGATAGAAAAATATTTCGATGTGTCGGCGGAATGTGGCCGAAAAAACCAAAAAAGTTGCAGCATCATCGATCGTCTGTGGCCAAAACAGTTTATGGCCAAATAATATATGCGTGAAATGCAAAAAAACAAAATGCGAAATAGCCGCCGGCAGGGGCGGGTTCCATTTGAAATGATATTTAATAATGGGTAATTGTGAAATGAAAAACATGAAACACAAATCGCCCGCCCATATATCAATCCATCTGGGAGGGACTTGCATAATTATCGTAGGGCAACTAATCTGTTTCGGAGTCTGGTATTTTTTTTTTGGAGGTCCAAAGCGAAGAAAAGTGCGAGGCAAAATGGCAAAGACAATTTGAATTCATTTCTGTCACTCTGCTTTTTCTGTCTATTTTTTTATAGCTGGCTATCTCCCTCAAGGTCGCATAAATAATAAAAGTAAAATGTGGCAAGTGATTCCACTGCGCTAATTAATTCAGTTGCGCTAATTTCGCCCTGCTCTGTTTTTGGTTTCTTTTTGAGTGCCCTAGAATGGGGTGTGATATATTTATGAGCATATTTTTTACAATAGGGAATGAGAAACTCGAACTTATAAAAACGTGGGTATGTTTATTATTTAGTTATTGGTTATAATGATGACTTTTTATTTTTTTTTTTTTTTCCGGTTGTAGTTCTTTTTGTTTTGTCTTTGGGGAGAGTTATTATACTTGAACCATAAATTTTACAGAACTATCAATGTTTTTGTGGGCACAAAGAGTGTAAAAATGTCTTGATTTTGAATTTATATATATGGTTTATAAATATAAATAATAAAAATAGTTTAAGTTAAACTATTTTAGCCAATCTCTTTTAATGCGTTTTAGAGTATTACTATAGGGTATAGACATCTTCGATTCCCAAGTTTTCATAGAAACGCTCTGTTTTTAGAGGTCTTTGTTTTCTGTTTTGGTTTTTTGATGCCTCACCAACCGATTTGCATATACTTGGCTCCCTCTCTTTCTGTCTCAAATCCCCCTGTCTTTCTTCCCTAGAGATTTGCGCAATTGTGGGCTGCAGTTGGGTTTTTCTCCCCAGCTGGTTTGTTTTGATTTGTTGGCCCTTTCCGTAGTTCCCTTCAAAACCAACCAAATGTAAGGCCCACGTGCTGCTGCCCACTTAAAAAAAAGATACAAAGATAGACAGAGGTTCACTAAGTGACTATCCATCTGAATAGTTCATAATCATCTTCGTCATCATAATCATCTCGTCATCATCATCATCATGAGATGCCAGTGACCTTTGGCGGGCTCTTCATTTCTCTAGCTTCTCTGCGCTGATCAATATCTGGGGGAAGCCTTCATGTAATGCACGATTTTTGTCGAAACACCGAATGATTGAGGCCTCCAAGAACAGTTAGGGCATATAGCGTAACCCCCTCCAATTTTTTCCTCCTATTTGTATTTGTTTTCTGAGTGACCGCTTCTATTCGTATTCAAATTTCTGGCAAAATTATCTCAAATATGGGTCAAAAACTACAGGTTTCTCGTTTCTCGCAGCGAAATATGTGTTAATCACTTCCCATGAATTATTCAATAAATTTCGTATAAAAAAACAGCGGCATATCTATACGAGGAAAGGTGCGAGGGAGATGGTGTGTGATTTACAGGGGGCAATTAAGAAAAGTGTTGCCAAACATAAGCAAACAATTTAGCAGGCGATTCTACACTGATTTTACGACTCTTAGAACACGTTTACATGACTGCCAAGCGTCGCAGAGGGGCTCCGACTGGATTATGGAACCCCACCGATCAAGGGTTACCCATAGCCAGCTGGTTGGCTTCTCGTTTTGAAATCAAATTTAGCGACAAGTTTTGCAAAGGGGGGGCTTATAAATTTATGGGTTACTTGGTAGCCCCACTTAGGAGATAATTGCCGTGGATAATTCCCCCCAGTTTGGCTAACCCGTAAAACAAACCGAACGATGCTCTTAAATCTTGGTCGCTTCACATAAATTTTGGGTCGAGGTCAGGCGGTTATCTATGGGAGTATGGATGGATTTATGACCCGACTAAGGGTGATTGAAATTCAAACTGAAAGCCGGCTACAAAGTAATGGGAAAACTCTGAGTGACATCATCGAACGCATTCAGTACCATATAAAGCGGAGACGACAAAAACTATGTTCTTTGAATTCCTAAACAATACTTTTCCGTGGTCTTTAGGTGCATTCAATAAGTAACCCATTGATATTCACCATTTATTTTAATACTAGTTAAACAGCTTTTTGCATTATTTTACCTCTAAAGCTCTTTAATAAAGTGCACCGGAACTTTATTACAAAACTTTATAACCAGTTTTAATTTAAAAACAATAACATTATATATAAACAGTCATTAAAAAATTTATAAGAGTTGCTTATAATGGCGTTAGAAAAATGTAAAACGCTTTAAAATTAATTTGTTTAGTTTTTACTTTAAGAATTAAATACAAATATTGTTTACATCAACTGATTTTTGATCTTAGGGAAGGCATTATTTTTACAGGGTGAAACAGATTTGTAACTTATCCAACAGTGTTATATAATAAAGTATTTGAAAATTTAGCAGGCCAAGCCTTTGATTTCAGAAGTTTAAGGGAATAAATCATATGGGCACATCATTCTATTTGCAAGATTCAAAGCGGTTGGAGCTCAGTCGTATTAAAAAATATTAAAAAAATATATATTTTGTAAATTCAATTTGTAAGTATAGTTCAAAATAAATTCTAAGAAATCAACTACCCAAAATATTTTAAGGAACATTTAACTATTATATTTCATTCGTTCTCTAAACAGTGTCAGATATAATATTTAAATGCAACTGGGCTGTTTTGAAAAGCGTGTATTGTAATCTAGAAATATTAGGCTCTAAATTTAAGTTTCAAAACTAATTCAAGAGCCACTGATATATTTCGCAGACCCACAATGCCAATGTCCCAAGGAGATGGCAGCTTCCACGGCAGTGGAGATCTGACCAAGAACGACTCGAACTCGCAGGAATCGGGGGATGGGGCACCCAATGCCTTTGCCGCCTGCCAGAAGCCCCGTCCGGATGCCAATTCCCTGCCGGTGCGGCAGTACCTCGACCAGACGGTGGCCCCCATCCTGCTCCACGGACTGCAGGCCCTGGCCAGGGATCGACCCAGTGACCCGGTCAGCTACCTGGCCACCTATCTCCTGAAGAACAAGAACCGCTGCGACGAGGTCAACATGGAGGAAACCTAATCACCCGTATTTTATTTATGCCGATTTTCCTTCCACACAAAATTATGTCTTGTACACAACTTATCGCTGATTAAAAGCTGGCTTAAAGCTAACTTACCAGCCACGATTTCATGGTGATCCTCCGGTGCTTTCGAATATTTTTCCGATTTAATTTGCAATTTAGTTTCCGTTGGCTTTTCACGGCTCCGTACACACGCACAAGATTTTGTTGCGAATTATCTTTTTCTCAGCTCTTGCCAATTTTGGCAATTTTCATTATAGGCAATTAGTTCCAGCTCCAGCTGCTGGGTTTGTGTACTTTTTAAATATTTATATTTTTCAAACACTTCCGATTGCAGCCCACGCTCGTTGCAATATGCGATCGTTTCGTTTTCGGTTTTGAATTTCAGTTTGGGCCAGGTTTATGCTTTTCAAACTCGCGCTCTCGTGTGTCTGGTCGACTGGCTGGCTCGTTCGCCACTAAATTCGCAGCGAGCTTAGTTGACGGTTTAAAAACTTCAAATTCGAAACCGCTTCGGTTCAAAAGCGAGCGCCAAAGCTTCGGCTCTGGGTTCGTCGTATTTCTCTGTTGTCAGTTCTGCTTGGTCCAATTTAATCTACTTTGGGGGGCTCTCGAGTAAGCCGATTTCACAGGCCCACCCGCAATTGTCACGCGCCAAAATCGAACCTATATGCCTCACATATGAACGTAGTATATCTACTATTGCATAGAATAATTAAATCTAATTGCCAGCCAGTCGGGTCTAAAGATCACACATCGCTGGCTCAGTGCATCTCCATCTCTGGGCTAAATGAGTGATAAATACCTCAGGTGCTAAGCCGCTCATTTTCGAAAGGGTTTGCGATCGGCCTTGGCATGTTGTATCTTGAAGTGCGAAGCGGGTTCAACTCAAAGTGGAGTTAGATAACTTCGTCTCGACAGTTTTCGATCAGTTCAAAAAATTATTAAAAATACCCCAAGCCATTTGTATCGAGACAAATAAACACATCTAAAAATAATACAACAAATCTCCAGGCAATTCGCCATTTGAGTCAGCGATTTTTGCTGGAAACGCAAATATTTGATAGTTAAAGGAGAAAGGGCAAGTGCATAGCTTTTGATACCCTTCGCTCAAGGGAGAGGCATTAGCTAATTAAAACCGGAAGAGAAGGGGGTCTAGATTGCGTACCCTATATCAATGATTCATTTCGGGCTTACCCACCTAATTAACATTCCTTAGATCACCTACCTAATGGTAATTGCTTGGAAATTTAAGTACTAACAATTTTCGGAATATGTATTTATTATTATGTTATTTGTTTCTAAGATCTTCTAAAGGTCTCTAAGGATATTTAAAATGAAGCTTTTATTTTTATAAAATTGTTTAAATTACTCATATAAATTATCATTTTATCAGTATTTAAAGTAGATTAACAAAATTTTAACGCTTTCAAAAAAGAATATTTTATCATTATATTATCAGTGTCTTATAAATAAAAATAAAATAAGTTGTAAGACTTTCGATTACAATTATTTTAACTGACTTACTAATTTTACATAAGAAGATTTTAACTATCAGGTTATTTATATATAATTTACCTCTTTGCAATTACTTTTGAAATCTTAAAGGTTAAAATGTTGTTCTTTTAAAAACAAGTTTCATAAAGCAGTTTCAAATAAATGACGCCGTGACAAAGAGATTGTTTTGAATTGTAGAACCGTTCCCCTGCCCTAAGGTATTAAGCTCTCAAATAGGGTATGCAGTCATATTCATAATCCATTAGAAGCCAAGAAAACAAAACAACAAGCCCAGAAACAAAACAACAACCCCAGCCAGCCCACACGGATAATAAAAGTCCGGCATATGATTTCTGGTGGCGTATCTGTATCTGCGGCCATCTGTATCTGTATCTCTTTGCTCGCCTTGTGGCTCGAATTAATTAAAAAATCAAAGTCGTTGTAATTATTTGTCTCGACTGCAAAAAGTGTCTGGCACTCGATGGTATCTGCATGGTATATGAGCCGCAACAACGGCTCTCGAGATCTTAAGACCCGAAAGTGGAGTTGCAAATTGAACTTGCTTTTTTTTTGGCGCCACAGCTGCCATTGTTGTTGGTGGATATCAAGTGCGTGGGCGACTCGTAGTCGCTTTGCGTCTAATGGAGCACCGAGCTCCAAGGCCTCCAAGTCAATTTTTCTGACAGTCTGACGATCATACCGACTGGGCCTATAGCCATATAGCCATATAGCCGATGCAGCTGACGTCACACGGCATGAAATCATTTTCGAAATGTAGGGGATAGGGATAAATCAGCGAGCATTCCATGAATAATCATAGACGAGCGAACGCTGGAGATACAATATATTTGCCAGCTAGTTCAATAAACAAAACCACACGGCGATTCAATTACCAATGCAGCTCACAGCGTCTGGACTTTGACTTCGACGACCCACTGTGCGTATGAGCGACGCGGAACAAAACTATCTTGAGTTTTAGCTTTGGTTTGGGGGTTTTCGGATTATTTATGCGTTACATGCCAAAACACAAAGCGAAATTTGAATATCTCACATGACGCATTCGGTTGACATGCGTGTCTACAACAAATGTCGCTCCAAACAGAAGCAGTCACGCCTCCTTTTGGGGATTTAAGTACAGGAAGAAATATGTTTAATTTGTGGTTACCTAATGACATTTTTTGTGACAAAATTATATAAAGTTTTACGGAAACAAAAGCGGAAACTGAAGGGAATACAGATAATATGGGTAGTACAAATTGGAAATTATAAGAAGAATCTTTGTATAATTATATTATGTTTTAGAATCTTTAAAGGTTGCTTTAAAGTCTAAAAAACCAAATCAATTCATAAAAGAATTCTGTTTGTAAAGAATATATATGAATAGAAAATCAATCTCTAAACACTTTCTGGAAGCGAATTAAAAAAATATTTTAATATTTTTGAGCTTTATTTCTAGGCCTTTATCAAATGTCGATAAATGTTATATAAAGAAAATTGATATAATATTATTTTCAGTACATCGCTTACTCTTCGAGCCATTGACAATTGAAATGAAATTGATTGAAATGCGATTAGCAAAATGAAAACCAAACTGCAGCTACAACAACAATGACTGACTAATGCTATAAATGTTTTGTTTTTTTGAGTTGAATTGAATAATCACACAATACATATGGCAGGTGCTGTAAAAAAAAGGGGGGAAATGATTTTGGCATATTTCGAATCGGCAAACTATACAGTAGGCTATTTTTATGGCCCCGACTTCGATTGTTTTTTGGCCATTTTCCCGCAGAGTCACGAAATCTTGGGGCGCTGTGACAATTTTATTTGTTAACTTTATATAATGTAATGCGATAATCAAGGCATTATGTCAGCCCAACTGGGCCAAGCTAGGCTCAGGTGTTTTTTCTATTCAAATAGGCAAGATCTATGGCTTAGCTATGATCTCAGCCATCGGACTGTGAAAGTTCTAACTTTCGGCTCAAGACCCCCACGCAATGCCAGCATAAAATGGAGTGGATCATGGTGCTCCACTTCGGACACTTTGGAGTCCGTTCCAAAACAAAAAAACAGCATGACCTACGCTAATAGGGAATCGGGAAGAGAAAGATCTAGCGAAATTTCAAACTAATTTTAGCAGTTGCGACATCGCCAAAATATCGGAATATCGAGCCAGCAGCAGCAGCAACAACAAAAGTTCGCTGAACTGCACAAAAGATACAAAATATAATAAGACAAAGCCGGGCTTCATTAGCCCCGGCATCATCACCACATTACTATACCATCATACCAACTCGCCATCATCATCGAAGAAAGCAGCAGTCGAAGATTGGTCAGCGGACAAAAAAATGCACACAAATCAACGTTAGAATTTGGAATTCCACTGGGAACAAAGCGAAGAAAGATGGAGAGTTTGGGGCGATGGTAGAACAAGAGTGAGAAGGAGAACCATCGAAATTCCCGGTAAATTGACTTTTTATAGACAGTGACAACAATTAATTATATTTTAATATGCTGCGCAGCCTGGCTTATTAGTTTATAGTATCAACAATACAAATTAAAGAACCCCTCCATCTAATCCGAACCCAAGACCGAACTCGACCTCGAAGAAAGGCCGCCGCAGAAAGTCATCGAACTTTCTCCGTGTTCTTTCGCCTACTAATTTCTATATTAGGTGTCATGGTCCCCGGCTATTTGTGGCTTAATTAATTACCCTAACAGCTGGGATCATTTATAATTTAGTCGGGGTAGTCAATCTCCCCCGATCTGCGATCTGTTACAATTTGTAAATGCGAAAAACTATGGAGCCAGTGGAACTCCCAAGGCGCAAGGTCAAACAAATTTGCCTGAACACAATCGCAGAGATCAGTAACTAAATTGCCGTGACAAGTGAACCTCTCAAAGTTGGGAACCCAGACCCGACCCTCCAGAAGAAAGAACGGATCCGACCCGAGAGTTATACAATCGCGTGAGTCTTCTCAGAACTGCGAATCTTTGTTGCTTAATTCACCTTTGTAAACATCGTCGTCGTCGGTGACATGCGAACAGAATGGTTATGGATAGAATGGTTAGATGGATGGATCTGTGGATGGTGTGTGAGTGGTGCCCCTTTAGCAGCCACTTTCCAGCATCTGAGCTGTAATTAATAGCAGCTTACGGTTTAGTCGCAAATTAGCCACATGACACAGCGCCAACAGGGGCGTAGGAGGCTGGAGACAGAACCGAGACGGTTTCTTGTGGGCGGATCTGACCCCATCCGGGAGAACTCTTAAGCTCTTTTACCACTTCCACTTGATTTTACAATGGATGATGGAAAAAGTCGCCAGCAGCTTCCGTTCGATCGGAGGCGTTGCGGTTGTCGAGTTTGCAGAGTGGGCGTTTGGCACTCTAAATTACTTGGATACATAAAGTTTGATTGAAGTCATAAATATGCTAATAAAAGCCATACAATAGTATTAAAACTTAATTGATTATATTAAGGAAGTAGTTATTACATTTCAAAACTTGATTGAAACGTTATTTAAATTTTAAAATGTAAAAAGTATTGAATAAAAATGTATTACTACCTGTGGTTACAATTAATACAAATAAATCTAAAGTCAAAATTCAATAGATCTTAATGAACATACCAATTGTAAAATCATTACATCCTATCAGCTCTATATTTTGTAAATGATTTATCAAAACAACCAATGTGTAAAATATTTTTAAAACTTCACATCCATGCTAAAAGCAAAAGTTAAAATATCTAGACTGAACGATTTATGGGGTATACATATTGTCCATATGCTGTTTATTCCAGAATTATCTTCTTGCTGTTTACTAAGTACTAAATACATTCAAGACTCGCATCCTGATCGCTCTAAGCGCAGCTAGTTGAGGGGATTCGATGTCTTGGCGCTCTCCTGGCGGATGGCGTTGATCAGCTCGTAGTTGACCAGGAAGGTGAAGCGCAGCCCCGAGATTTCCACAGTGCAGTTGTGTGCCAGCCGGGCTTTGTTGCCCGACAGCAAGGGAGTGCCGTCTATAAAGATGGCCCTCTTGCCCTCGTTGGCGATGAAGAAGTCGCCGTTGCTGCGCAATTTGATCGTTCCCTGGCGTCGCGAGATCTTAGCGGCCGGCCCTTCGAGTCCCAGGTCCACATCCACCACGCAGTCCTTGGCATCGCGGCCAAATGTGATTTCCTTGGAACGCATAAGGTAGCGCACATGGTGGCCGCACAGACAGGCCAGCGTCTGGTTGTCGAACTCGGAGGCAGCCGTTGGACTAAGCACGGAATCAACTAAAACGCCCCAGCGCGAAAGCTCGTTCTCCAGCAGGCGTATATCACGTTTGTTGCGACGATCTGCCAGAGCTCTCTCCATCTCCAGAGCCTCGTCACGCGGCTCGTTGAGGTCATGCTCGAAGATCTGATCCTCTGCGTCCGAGAAGCTGATTGGCTGCTGATCCATGCCGTAAAGAGGCTTCACAGACTGGTCCGGCAGCAGACTGTACTGCTTGAGGAGTAGCCAATGGTTGTGCAGAGACTTGGCAGTGCGGGCGCAATAGAATATCGAGGCGTTCTTGTCCAGGAGCTCCTGGAACTGCTCCACCTTGGGTTGCTCCGTCTATGGATTAGATTACAGATAAGTAATGTATCGAATTAAAGCTAATATCCTTCACTTACGCTCTTAATGGTGCCCAGAAGATCTTCCTCCTGAACGCTGTAAAGAGCCTTGCGCTGAACGGACTCCACCAGCTCCGGATGCAGGTTCCTCATGGCGGAGACGGCAATCCTTGACACCGCCGGCTCGTAGAGCAAAGCATACCAACGCTGCTGGAGTTCCTGCAGGGTGAACTTGCAGGAGAACTTGACGCCGCGATGGATAATCCTCAGATCGTTGGTCTGCTGGATGCCGATGATCAGGGCCAGGTCGTCGATGGGCTTCCAGCGGCCCAGATCCTTGGTGGCCATCTGGCCCATGGGGCGACCATTTCGGCGCTGCGCTTTCTTGCTGGCCGGACGCACTGGACGCGAGCGCCGTTCGCTGGTCGACGGACGCTCCATGGCCGGTGCTTTGGGATGCACTACTGTTGATGCAACAATTGGGGCTGGAGCGGGAAGAGGTGTGGCCAGAGGAGCCGGCGTAGTAGGCGTGGCCAGGGGCAGTGATGCAGGGGTACTGGGAGTCCCGGGTAGCAGGGAATCCGCGGAGCCCGGCGTCTGTGGCGTTTCCGGCGTGGAAATGGGGATGTTTAAAGGTGCTAACGTGGTGTGCGGCACGCCCACCAAGGCAGGATAATTCTGGGAGGTGGTCCGCGGTCTGCTGCTGCGATTGGCGTCCGTTCCGCCGCGATTTGTGGGCACTGCGATGTTGTACTCGACTATTTCGTCATCAAAACGCTTCCGTTTAATCGTCCTCGATGAACTGTCGGGGGGGAGCAAAAGGGTTAATAATTGTCAAGCAGTTTTTAATGTCAAATTTGACAGCTGTCATCGGATCTTTCTCACCTTCTTCGCTTTTGATCGTTCTGCAGCTCAATCGGCAAATTTTGAATCGGAGGATTTCGTAGTGGTGTCGAAATTACAGCTGAAATGCTAGCTGTACTTCCTACTGTTGTTGTTGTTGTTGTGGCTGCTATCGTCGGTATGGTTGTTGTTGCTGGCGACACGCCTACTTGGATTAGTGTGCTCGCAGCTGGCGCGGGGTTAACGGGCACTGCGGGGGGATTGGGGGCGGTGACGGGCACTGCACTGCTGCCACTAACGGTGATCCTGTTTACCTCCATTGCTCTGGCGGGCTGTTTACGGGTTAAAACCTAATTTTTTCGCGACGCACAACACACACAGTGTGACCGCAGCAGCAGTAAAAAGTGTATGGTGCGCGGAGTTGCCAGATGGTCGGACTTAAGTGGCACTGAGAGAAAAACTTCCGTTTAAATTAATGGCAAGTGTAATAATATTTTTTAATATTTTCCATTTTGCACCTAAAATATTTTAATTATACTGTAGTACACTAGATATCAATTTTAATGAGTATGTATAGTAGTCACCTTCGTCACTTTGTGTACTGGTTCACAGCCACATAAACTGTTTAAAAGTAATACATTGTAAAAGATGTGGTTATTTTTTGTATATTAAGGAAGATAATGACTATATCTAATTTTTAATATACATTCAATCCAATTAAAACTATGAATCGATTAAAGTTAGTGTATCAATAAAAATTTAATCTAACATAGCAGTTAGATTACAATTCAAGTTTTACAATTACGTATTTATTTATTTATTATATAAAGATAATTTGAATTGCGACAAGAATAAATTTAAATGTGTTTATTTTTAAATCCATGCCATCTGTCATTGCAGTTTTGCAGGCATGCCAGACCTTCTGCAAAACCCACGCTTCTCAACACTTCCTCCCACACACTCGCGACCATCTGGCAACCCCACGCTCCCGAGAGTGTAAAATTTGTTTACTGGCATTTAAATATCCGCGAATTTAGGCCACAACGCCTGACTCATCCACCCAGCACTGATGCCCGGAGCCACTAGATGAGTGCCTGGAAGACCGGGCCACCGAACTTTCTCACTAGCCACAGAATAAACACGGGAAACTATGAGGTAAATGAGACTGCGTCTGCACGAAAACAAAACAGTCCACTAAGTATATGACTAATCGATTTGCAGTTTGCACTACGCGGAATCGGAATCTTCGCAGTCAGAGAGCAAAATGGACATCTCGGAGACGCCGACGGACTCCACGGGCGTCTCGCCACTGGCGGATGATCTTGTGCCAACTGCGCCGCAAAAGAATATCCTTGAATTGGAGCAGGAAAAGAAGGACCAGGACCACAATCGCGACAAGGAGGAGCTGGAGTTTAAGACGAGCTCCACTTTGGACAACAGAATACTGAGACCGGAGTTGCTGCCCATCGAGACGATGCCACAACGACAGACCATCGAGCGCACCCTGGCCAACAGCCATCCGCTGATGTCGCCAACCAACACGGACTCCGATTCGGAGCCCTTCCAGCTAAAAAAGCAGGAGAAACAGCCGCCGCGGAGCAACTTTCCGGACGTAGTGCCCACCACGGAGACGGTGCAGGTGAAGAACAACCTGAATCAGGCGCGGAACAAGCCGCAGGACGCCAAGGTCAGCCTGCTTAGGGCCAACAGTCCGGATATCCTGAGCAGCGAGTCGGATGCGGATGTGTCACAGTACTTGGCCGCCGTGGAGTCCAATTTTCAGTCTGTCTCCCTGATGCCCAATGGCAATGGCAAGAAGTCCAAGCGATCGACTGCTCTCCCCGGTGGCGAGGACATATCCAGCCTGGATTCCATCTCAAATCACAGCTTCGACGACGATGAGGACATTGAGCACAATCTGGCCTCCTTGAGTCCTTCGAGCTCCCTGATCGATGGTTTAGACGGAGAGGATGACGACGATGATTGCGAGGGTCCGGAGCTGCTGCCCGACCACGATGACGACCTGGAACTGGACCTGGAGTTCGGTTTGGCCACCACGCCCACGCCAATTGCCCCGGCTTCGGGCACTGCTGCCTCCAGTCTACCACAATACACGGCTGCTGAGGAAAGACGCGACTCGCGGAATTGGCAAAAGATCACTTTACCGGACGGACGCACTCGGGAGATCGACATGCGTGTCATCGAGCCCTACAAGCGTGTTCTGTCCCACGGCGGATATCTCAAATCTGGCGGCCAGAACGCCATAGTCATCTTCTGCGCCTGTCACCTGCCGGATAGGTCAAGGGCCGACTACAGCTATGTAATGGACAACCTGTTCCTCTACGTGGTCAAGACCCTAGAGCAGCTGGTCACAGATGACTATGTGCTGATCTACTTGCATGGCGGTTCCAACAGGCGAAATGTGCCGCCTTTCCCATGGCTCAAAAGGTGAGTTTTTCGCACTAGCTTTCGGGATTTGTTATGATTTTTTTTAATAATCCTTCCACAGATGCTACCAGCTGCTGGATCGTCGGCTGCGCAAGAGCTTGAAGCACATGTATTTGGTGCATCCCACATTCTGGATTAAGTCCCTGGTGTGGATGGCGCGGCCCTTTGTGAGGTAAGCAAAAGTAAAATTGATAAATGAAAACAAAACTTAATTAACAACCCTGGTCCTTGGCAGCACAAAGTTCTGGCGCAAGCTGGTCTACGTAAAGTCCCTGGAGGAGCTGGGCTTGCACGTGGTTGTGGAGAAGGCGGCCATTCCGGAGAAGGTCAAGCAATACGACGCCAAGCGGCACTGAGGACCTGCGATGACCCAGACTTGTTTTACTCAAAAAGCTAATGCAAACGCAACGCATTCATGCCACACTCGCTACTCGAGCCTTTGCATTCCCCATCTTCAATACGGACTAAGGCTAATCCTCCAACCAATTGTTTGCGCTCTCTCGCTATGCTTTAATTTAAGATCTCAATCTTTGTGATACTTTATGTTTGCCTTCTCTCAGTCGAGTCGAATCCCCCCTGCATTTTTCCGTGTGAAGCGTGAAGGCGTTCAGCAAAACATCGAACAAGTTTTTGTAGTTCTTTATTGGCAGTCGTAAAAAACGTATTAGTAGACACAGACTCATATGTGCTAGGATCCTATATATACACCCACATACATAATGATACCATGTAGTTATCGTGTAGCTTCCGCTTCATATATTTTGTAATGGAACAGACATATGCAACCAGGAACCACCTAACTTCCGAACATGTTACCTTTCTTTGTAGTTTCAAAAAGAGAAAACACGAAGTTGGAACACTAAACTGAACTTAAACATAAGTAATTGAAAATCTTTAGCTGAATTTTGCATCCAATATCGCATATTGTATATTCCAAGCGTTCCAAGCACGACACTTTCGCTGACACTGAGAGACCCCATGCCAGTCGACAGTACATAGGTGCCCCATTAATCTCATCCACCATCAGAGTTAGCCGATTAGCCTGTAAGTGAACTAGCGACCATTCTTTGTGGACTCTACACACGGACACACGTAGAATCTCTCTAGCGGATAATGTGACGTACAATTAGGCAATGATTGATATTAAGAGCGACATTTTGTTGGTTTCCTTTTACCGCTTTAAACAAACAATAATAATAAAGTGCAAGATGATTTTTTATTTATTATGCAATAAACAGTGTACAAGTCGTTGTTCTATGAGTAGTAACTCTGATCGCAGTCCCACAGGTCGTTGTCCTCGTGAAATTGGATGAGAACGAGTTCATAGGTGACGATGGTGCCAGCAACCTGTGGAGTATATGATCTTAAAGATTTAAAATTAATTTGTTATTAACGTACACTCAACACCAGCTTCCTTGTGAGGTGGAAAAACTTCATTCCGCTGAGGGCCACCTCATCGCTGATGACCTCCTCCGTAAATCTCTTCACCTCCGGACACCAGGACTCCTTGGGCACACAACGTAGATACCTCAGTGTTAGCCTGGATTCGTCATGAACGCTGGCCGAGTACAGTGAAACCGCCAAAGTGCGACCAATGAGGAAGATTAGGGAGAAGTAGAAGTACACAGCATGGGCCACCGAAGGCATGGTGCTAGGGTTGAATATGAAAATTAACCATCTAGGGGTCCCTTAAGTTTATAAACTCACTTTAAACTTCTTAGCAACTGAACGCAAATAAAGTATAAGTTATTGGAGAAGGACACCATGGTAATTAGGGATATGGCATCGTCCATTTTGTCGCATAGAATGCAGATATTCCTGTACTGAATTCGACGCTCTGACCAGTAAGTGGGAGCCATGTTCTGTAAGTAATCATTACCTTCTGTAAGAAATAATAATTGCATTATTTTGTCATACCATTCCTTTAAAATTTCGCAAATCATCGTTTAGCTGACGAAACTTGGACGCCAAACCGATGCTAACAATCATCACAAACATGTCCATGTAGTTCCATATAAAGGTGGAGTAGACGTTCTGGAACTTGCCCCATAAAGCCAAAGGTGTGGAGTAACTGGCCACAAAAAAGATCTCATCGTTGGTGCGCAAGAAATAATTTTGGATGGGATCGGCGGTGCGGTTGCAAAATGAAGCATAGTTTATGGCCGATACCATGCTCAAAATGTGCTCCGCTTTGGATATTGGATAGGGTTGTTAAAATAATAATCTAATATCTGTTGAAATACTGAACTTACCAAAGGACAGCATCATTCCCACTAACATGACCATCGATATGGTGTGGCCCATCTTCCACCTGCCCAACTGCGTTTTATACTGCGGCAGTTCCTTCTCCACCGTGTGCCAAAACATCATCAACTGGGGCCACTGGCGGGCCAGTTTTAGTGCCACTATCAAAACCAACAGAACAGATCCACGGAATATAATGGGCTTAATACTGTTGAAACTAATCGGATTGTTTAAAACCTTAAACAATGATAGTCCAAAGTTGGCCAAACTCGATGCGATGAAAAGCAGACAGAAACAGGTGCGAATATTGCGCCAGGAGAAGCTCAGGTTCGAAGGATGTTTTCCAGTCACTCCCTTGACTGGCATCATGGCGAAGAATTCGGCTACCAGGAGCACACGGCCAACTGCCTGGTGGAAGGTTCCATCGCTGAGAAATGCCTCCTTATCGCTACGGGATAGCTCTGTATAAATACATTTTATTAATTAAATATTTATTATATTATTTCTAACTTTACTTGGCTGTTTACTCCGCAGTTCGTACTCATTTTCTATATGATTTTTGTAGGTTTCACAACTTTCCTGAAAGGCCTTGTTACGGGCGCTAGAAAAAGGTATACTTGATTTTTACACTTAAACCATAGTTAAAGAATTCTGTAAATTTACAAGGGTTTCTTTAAGATCAAAGCCTAAAACATCAAGTTTATTAAGCAAATCCGTGTTTTGTTTATTCCTATAAGGGTGTTTCTTCACCCACCCACCTCTCGTGAACCAAATCCAGTTTTCTAACCAGTGTTGGCCTGGTCACCTTCTTCTTCAGCCGGCGCAACCTGCGCTCCAGCTTGGGAAGGAACTTCATCCTGCGACCTTTTAACACAACTCGCCGAGGCAAACTGCCTGGAAGGATTGGCCCAGTCAACTAAACTGTCACACTATGAGTGCCCAATGACTATTAAAAACACCTGTTGTTTTGCACTTATCTATAATTAAGGAACAACAACAATAAAAGTATATATTTTGCAGGTTTAACACTCTGTCCCTCCCACAAAGTTCAGCTTTCAAAGCAGCCGGCCACCTTTTCCTCGCCATTGAACTGCAGCAAAATGAGCTCGTAGGTTACAATGGTACCGGCCACCTAGTGATATAATATAGTTATATTATAGGATATTTTTGCAACATTTTTTTGCTCGCACACAGACCGAAATGACAACGCCGCGTGTGAGACGAAAGAACTTCATGCCTGTCAGAGCCACATTGTCCATCTGAACCTCCTCCGAAAAGCGCTTTAGCTGGAAAGTTTAGAGTGATTCTACAATTTGGTATAATCATATATATATATTCTCACCTCATCGCACCAAAACTCCCTGGGGACTAAACGAAAGATGACTAGGGGTCGCTTGGACTCATCATTGATACTGGAGCTATAGAGCGACAGGATGAGAGTGCGACCCAGTAAATAGGCGAGTGAGAACCAAAAGTACAGGGTGTGCAAAATAGACGGCTTGGCCCTGCAAAATATTAACAAGAACTGAAGACCTTTAAAAATAATCTTTAGGATCTTATATGGTATATAAGGTACAAGATAAAATATGGAAGAACTACATGAACTTACTGCATGCTCTTAAGGATTTTACCGCAGATGAAGTACAGATTGTTGCTGAAGCAGAGCAAGGTAATGGTGGATATGGCATCGTCCACCTCCTCGCAAAGTTTACAAAGGTTCCGGAAGTTAATCCTACATTGCATCCAGTGTTCCACAGTGGTGGGCTAAAAATGCGATAAAATATGTAATGTCATCTTGCTTATATGACCGAGTACCATACCAATCGAGCCTCCCTCATCATGAAATCATTCAGCTGTCGAAAACGGGCAGCTAAAGCCACACTAACAGCCATCACGAAGATGTCGTTAAAGTTCCAGGCGAAAGTACTCAAGACATTGACCACCTTCCCCAAGATCCCCAGAAAAGTGGTGTAGTCCACAAAGTAGAACACCGTGGAGTAGTTTAAGTACAGGAAACTGTCGATGGGATGACCCGTAAAATGGGGACAGGAGTTTACGTAGTAGCCCATGGACAGCATGCTCATTATGTGTTCCACTAAAATTTAAATAAATTATTTATTAGTTTGACGAAATTGTATCTTACCCAGCGAGCAAGTGGTGGCCACAATGGTGATTATCTTGATGTGCTGGGCCAGGGATCTGCGTTCCTTGGGCAATCTGAGAGGTGGTAACTTGGACTCCACTGACTGCCATTCTTGAGCAATTGCAGGCCACTTCCTGGCCAGTTGCAAAAACGCCAAGGAGATGAGGAATATGGATAGATAAAAGACTAGAGTCTCCACCGAATCGAAATCGAATGACACATTCGTCACGTAAGCCACCAGATACCCGGAAGTTATACCAAAGCACAGGATGGTAACCAAGGCATAATAAGTTCGGATACTGAACCAGGTGAAGATCAGGTCTTCTGCGAACTTGGAGCTCACTTCCCGAACTGGCATGAGAGCAAAGATCTGGGCAATGATGAGAACTGAAAAATACATATTAACTAAGTCCGCAGAACTAAATCCTCTTACAGCCAAAATATTACCCTTTTAATAGAAAATGTATAAAGTATTACGTATTTTCCCTTCATAATTACCTGGCTTAATGGCTTCCTGAAAGGACCCACAATACTTATAATCCTCCTTTCTGATCCGAAGAAGCCAAGCTCTTACTGTGAATCAAAAAACTATTATAACAATAAAAAAACCCAAGAAAGCTTACTTAAAGAAAATTGAAATTGCCTTGAGGGCTTAGAGACGACTCTGTACTTGATGATTCCCAAGGTGATACTATATATTGTTTAAAAAAAAAGTCACATTACAATTTAAATATTCACAATAGAATCCACCTACTCGCTGCCCACTCGAGATCTTCGCCAGAATTTGATGCGAGCAATGCACCGGCGCCGCTTGGCAGGATCCCCAGTGGTCCTGGCCATGTTCCGAGCTCGACTGACGGTTTAACCTCCCCAGACAAATGGTAAACCCACAAATTGCTACTGGTTACCCCTAATTTATGGCCTCCGTGCCAATTGTGCGCTTATCTGTGTATAATCTTGTGCAAGTACGAAACATTGACAGCCCTCGAAGGGCTTATAAGGCACATATATAGTCGTATAAAAGAAAATGAAAATGGTAAACAGAACTAAGAGAAGAAAATGCTCATGGAGGAGCCAGGTCCACGGCTGCAAATACTTTTCTGCATTACGGTACCTTCCAGTTGCCGGAAGAGGACTAGTTCGTATCCCATTAAAGCAGCAGCCATCTAAAAATATAGTGATAGTTAATGTTTTTTCGAACATTTAGTAATACCCACTGCAAAGATGAGCCTTCGGGTCACAAAAAAATACCCCTTTCCGCTTAGGGCAAATCTTTCATTGCGGAGCATCTCACTTAAGCGCTCCAGATCATCACACCAAGAACTAGATGGTACTTCATAAAGTGTACTCGATATATCCTTGACTTCCTGGGGAATCGAAGCAGCCGCAAACATCATGTTCATCAAGCGAGCGATCACATAAAGCAAACAGAACCAGAAGTAAAGCTCGTCCATAAAAGCGCCTTTAACTCTGTTCGAATAAAAATATATTTAATTTCAATAAAATCAGTGAAAATTGAAAAACTCACTGAAAACTATGGTAGACTTGGACGCAAATAAAGTACATATTATGAGCGCAGCAGACCAAAATCAAACCTGACAACTCGTTTTCATAGAGCTTCAGTAGATCATCCAGATCCAACAAGTCCGAACGTATTTCTTGCCAAAACTCTTTAGTTACGGTCTTCCGCAGATTCTGACGAATGCGCCAATGAATTTGCTGGAACCGAATATTCAATCCACGACAAATAAGAAACAGGAAGATATCTCCAAAGTTCCAGATGAATGTCATGGAAAGGGTGCTCCACTCAATGAAGAACACCATCCAAAGTTGGTAATCAAACACTGAGAATACCTCCTGGCGCTCCCTGAGGAAATAGTTCTCTAAGAAGCCCTCTTTCAGATTGCAGTCCCGAATCTGCTCGTAGTTGCTCCAGACGGCACTGCCCACATAGGTGAGGTGTTCACATAGGGCGGTTACCAGCATGGTTAATGCCCAACGTCTAAGAATTCGACTGAAGTTAAGTCCTTGATAGCTGCCATAGCAGGGTTTCAGGAAGATCTGCTCACAAAGCGCTGTCTTTCGGATGATATAGGGCCATCGGCGAGCAATATTTATAAAGGCACAAAAACAAAACATACATATCACACTAAAACTCAAAGAACCTGTAAATAGAAAAATAAAATGCTGTTAGTATTTAATCTTAAGGATTTTTAATCTCTTCAATATTTCATATTTAAGCCTGTCTTTTAGATAACTTACCTATAGTGTAGATTTTAAGACCATTAAGAAGCACCAACTTTGCTGAGAGAACAAAATCACCGATTACAAACATCAATACCACCACGAAAAACAAAATAATAGGCGAAAACCAGCGAAAGCGAACATTTTCCGGCTTGTTAGTAGGTCCTATTCCGGAAAGAGGAAGTACACCAAAAATCCGAGCTACGAAAAGAACTGAAAGAACCAAACTGAAAGATGGGAGCAACCAAGAACCACACTCACCATTTCCGATGGCATAGTGCAGGGTATTTTCCTGCACTGACCGCTCCATTTGAAGTCCATGGACACACAAATGGCTCTTTACCCTGAATTCATTTAATTTTGTGATAATTGAGACACTTGTGACAGAACGTTTCAGACACGCATTGTATTGATAGATAACATCCGACAGGTGCGATTGATTAGGTGCCATTATGGGAATAAAAAAGGTGCAAAAAGTGGGAACTATTAAACTGGAACTAGGAAAATATGCTCTTGGAGGAGCCAACGCCGCCTTCGCAGAAGCTCTTTTGCACTTCGGACCCAGCCATTTGGTTGATCAGCACCAATTCATAGACCATCAAAGTAGCAGCCATCTTAAAAATGGATATAATAGAACTTTGAAATATAGTAAACACCAGTTTTTACAAACTCACTGCAAATATTAAACGTCTGGTCAGTAGAAAGTAACCCTTGCCACTGAGGGCAAAGTGGTCCGAAAGGAAAATCTCGTTTAGGCGTCTTAACTCCACGCACCAAAACTCCGTGGGTATTTCGTATAGGGTATAAGATATCTCCCTGGCTTCTTGGGGGATAGAGGATGCAGCGAACATCATGTTTAGCACTCGAATAATGACATAGGAAAGGCAGAACCAGAAATATAGCTCATCGGCAAAGTTTCCTTTTGACCTAAATATGTAAAAATTGTAGTATTTTATCATTACATTTTTGTAATTATATGGCTTACTGAAAGCTGTGATAAATCTGCACACATATAAAGTACATGTTGTGGGCACAGGACAGAACTATCAACCCCGATAATTCCTTGTCGTAGATCCCCAGAAGATCACTAAGATCCAGAAGATCACAGCGAATCTTCTGCCAAAACTCATTTGGCATTTGCAGCTTTGCATGTTGTCGGATGCGCCAGTGCATCTGTTGGAATCTCATCTGCATTCCGCGACAGATGAGGACCAGAAAGATGTCCACAAAGTTCCACACGAAGGTCATCGATAGGGTGGTCCACTCAATAAAGGGTATCCACCAGGCGGTGAAGTGCATAACCAGGAAGAGTTGCTGCCTCTCCCTCTGGAAATAGTTTTGCCAGAAGTCCGCATTCAACTTACACTCCACAATAGCCAGGTGATTGTTATACAGGGCACTTCCCACGTAGGTGGAGTGCTCACAGAGAGCAGCCACCAGGAGGCAGACACCCCACAGACGAAGACGACTGGAGTAGCCACGTCCATATTTACAATCGTAGGCGGGCTCCAGGAAGATCTGCTCACACTCTGCCGTCCGACGGATAATATAGGGCCAACGGCGGGATAACAGCAGGAAGACCCCAAAACAGAAAATGCAGATCACACTGAAGCTGAGAGATCCTAAAAAAGGATATGTGTTGTATATTAAAATACCACCCAAACTATTTTAAGGAATATTAATTTATGTTATATTACTATTATATTTGATTTTTTAAAGAGGTAATTAAAGTTCAGCTGATCTTTAGACATATTATAATGCTACATTGCCAATCTTATATTACCTTTGGAAATCAGAAAATAAACAAATAAATAACTGATACACAAAATTATTATAAGGATCTTTCTTACCTATGGTGTAGATTTTCAGACCATGATCTAACACTACTTTGGAGGATAGTGCACAGTCCACAATGGAGAAACAAAACAAAACCAGGGCAGCTAGGAGCGACAAAGAAATCCAGCGAAAGTGAACCTTCTCTGGTCGAGTACTTGGCCAGACCCCCGAAACCGGTAGAACCCCAAAGAACTGGGCTACCACCAGAACTAAAAAATTATGAGATTATTAAAAACATATGTTAATAAAATCCCTACTCATTCCATTTACCAGGACCTATGCCGTGTTGGAGCGTGTTTCTGGTGCCTCTTTGACCCGACTGCTTCATGGCTTGGCTGTTGTTTTGCAAATGTAAAGAGGTCCTTTAGGTCCTAAGGACATGCCACAAACAAGGGGGCGTAATCCAATCTATTAACAGATTACGATCTTGCGAATTGGCGGTTTTTGTGCAGGTACGTGGGCGTGACACTGGTGACTAAATGTGCTATTGAACTGTAGTTTCGAGTGCTAAATTCTGGGATCTAATATTCCCTGCAGTACTGAGTCTTTTGCCTGATGGAACCTTGGTTGATTACATCCGATATCATGAGCTCGTAGGTGATGATTGTGGTGCCCATCTAACAGGGGATAAGTATGGGTAGAAATAAGTAAAATGATACATTTTATGACTTCAACTTACAGCTAAAACAAGTGAGCGGGTAAGGTAGAAGAATCCGCTGCCGGAAAGAGCTGTCATATCATTTCCCAACTGCTCACTAAAACGCTGAACCTATGGATACAAATATTATAATAGTAAATACACCTAGAAGTTATTTTTACCTCTATGGACCAAGCTCTAGAGGGCACATCCCGCAAAGCAGTGACAATCTTTTTTTCGTAATCGTTTATTGAAGAGGCCACAAAAATAGTTAGTAAGGTGCGGACAACTGCAAAACCGAGGGAGTACCAAAAGGCTACCATCACAAGAAAGTCCACTCCAATATTTCTTTTGAAAATAAATAATAGTTTATATTTTTTATAATTAGAATATGAAATATTATAATAATACTTAGACTTACTTGAAGCTGTTGAACAACTGAAAGCAAATAAAGGACATGTTGTTGCCGAAAGCCAGTAGAACTAGTGGAGCTATTGCAGCATCCAGAAGATGCACAAGTCTCTTTAAAGCCAAATAATGCTCACGGACCTCTGTCCAAAAAACCGCGGGCATTACTTTTCTATGAACAGCAGCAATCCTTCGATAGAGCTGATGAAACCTGGCAGCCAATCCAATGCCAATGCACATGATGAAGCAGTCGGTGAAGGAACGCGGATAGGCAATAGTCTGGTTAACCCACTAGGAAATATTATTTTAGCATTATAAACTAATATTTATACACATTTTATATGCATATGTACCTCCAAAATAGGCAGCATCCAAAAGTGATAGGGCAGAATCATGTAGAGATGAGGACGTTCCCACTTGTAGATGCTTTCGAAGTAGGTAACATTGATCTTGCACTGGGTGCGCTCCATATTGCTGAGATGAAACGAGTTGAGGAGCAGGAGACAGTGTTCCACTAAAAAATGTTGTTTAATAAAAATATCTTTATAAACATAATTTTTCTAAACAAAGTTGTATATTAAACTCACCCAAAGCCGATAGCATGACTATGGCAAACACAATATATATACGTCTTTTCATCTTGTATTCCCCGTAGAAGCGATATGGAACCCTTAGGAAGAGCTGTTCCACTCCATGCCAGATGCGCATAATCCTGGGCCATTGAATGGCCAGTCTCCAGAAGAAAAGGTGCTCCAAAAGACAGACAATATACAGCGAAAGGGTGCTGGAGGTGTGAAAGTTAATGGCCACCTTGATGACATAATTGATGACGGCCCCAAACTCGCAGAGATTTAGGATTAAAACGAGGCAAGAGTAAAATATCCGCGGTGAAAACCAACGAAACCGGATGTCCGCAACATCCAAAGCGCGGACATTGCTAACCGGAAGCAGGCCATAGAGTTGTGAAATATAAAGAACTGTGTAAACATAGTATTTAAGTTTTAATAGTGATATATAATATAGTGTTAATCACACACCTTTCGAGACCGCCCGATGGAATGTCTCGCCCTGCGGCATGGCCAAACTAACACTAACCACCGACTTGCCAATCTGGCGTGCGAAAAGCTGCCCACATAACTTAGGGGGCGTGACTGTTCTAAACGATTTAGCCAGTAAGTATTTACAACTAATTGCACCGCCTGTCACATTCAGCTGACATGACAAATGGCCAGGAAGTGGGATGATGGGTGTCATGGTTGTGGCTCATCAGGCGCACAAGGGCTGAAGTCCTTTGCGTCGATTGGGTTCATCGAATTGCAAAAGGACCAGTTCGTAGGTGACAATCGTTCCGGCCATCTGGGGGGCAAAGGGAATTCCAGAGGTGTGAACATAAACTAGCATTTTCTGCAACGGGGTTACCCACTCCAAAAAGCAGTCGTCGTGTGAGGAAGTAGAACTTCTTGCCGGAAAGGGCAACTGTCTGAGTGGTCATCTGGAATATCAGGCGCTCAACCTCCACGCACCAACTGCGACTGGAAACCCTCCTCAGAACTCCCAGTCCCCGCTTGGACTCCTCATTGATGTCCGCTGCCGTGAGGAACACAAAGGCGGTACGTGCAATGAGATATAGTAGAGAGTACCAGAAATATATGTAGTTGATAGGCCAGCGCAGCTTGCTGAGGGATGATAAAAATAAGAATGTTATAAGCAAATATTGAATAAAATATGAAAATTAGGAGTTCATTCTATTTAGTATATCCAAGCTGGTTAAATAAATCTCTCACTCATAAAACTCACTTGAAAACATTAAGCAGCTGATAGCACACAAAGTACAGGTTATTAACACACGAAAGCAATATAAGACTGGACATGGCGCTATCTACAAATTCCAGCAATTCACACATCTTGACGTAATGCTCTCTGATTTGGATAAAAACCGACTCGAGGACCTCCTCATGTTCCAGTTTTCGAATACGAGCAGTTATTTGCTCGAATCGGTAGGACAAACCCTTGCTAATCATCATGATAAAAAGGTCCATGTAGTTCCACACAAAAGTGATGGCACCATTGATCAACTAAAAAGAAATATACTCAAAAACATTTAACGTATAAGAAAGTAACAGGAACTTGCTAGAACAAGAGCACCGATGATGGGACTGTAGGGAAGCAACTGAAACACATAGTCGTAGTTGGTTTGCATGTAGTTATCAAAACTGGCCACAGTAGTTATATTAAAGCACAGCTGAATACGTCGCTTATAGGTTAGAATAGCTGATACTTGGTACAATGCATGTTCACCTGAAGTTCAGGAGTTTTGAAAACCTAATATATCATTGAAGTACAGCTTATAACTCACCTAAAGACATGCCAATTATGGCCAAGGCAGCCAATTGAACACGACGCGAAAGATTTCTCTTGGGTACTTCATATGGGGGCTTGGTAAAGACCATTTCCGTTTTGGTCCAGTATCTTATAAGAGCTGGCCATTTTTTAGCCAGGCGAATAAAGACCACATAGGCCGACATCACACAGCCGAAGAAAACGAGACCCACTAGATAAAGAAATAGCTTTAATGTTAAATTTAAAAATGATTCATTTTACCAAAATTCTTAGCTGTAATGCCAATCTTCAGCAGGTGACTGAGCATGCTCAGAAACAGTATACATGTGGCAGTCATAAAGATCAGGGTAACAATCATGGGTATTGATTTATAAGCAAATCGAATGCGTCTGGGATTCGATTCTCGGATGCCCACCAAGGGCATAATAGCTACACACTGTGCCAAAAACATGACTATATTGAAAGGGAAAATAAAAACATTTTTACAATATTCTTCTAGTTTTATTCAAGCTTACATGGATATACAGCCCGATGAAAAATATCCAAATTGGCATAGTTGGGTAGCTTTTCGCTGGCCAAGACATTAAATTCCAAATTCGATTCTTCTACAAACTTTGGAGGTGGCGTTTCGGGCCTGGCCAAACTCTCGACTGCCTTAACTACATTATCTCTACTGGTAGTTTTACGAAAGTTCATGGTAGTTCCTTTCATGACGCCGGTCTTTTTTGCACTGACACGAAATGCGAAATTTAAATAGGTCCAAACTTGTCATGGGCGGAGTAGACCACCGATAGCCCCACAATGGTTTTGGCGGCACCGAGGTGACCAGCTGAAGGGCCACTAATTACGGGGCTTAGACTAAGCTGGTCCGAGGATGTAAACAACAATTATGGGATTAGTTGCATGTTAAGGCCCTCGGATAGCATCCTGAAGTCCTTGACGACTTGGGCTCAACAAGAGCTCTGCGAGGAAAAGTGTTAAGGGTCGATCCTTTAACATTCAAATAAAGAATCTTTTAATTTAAGTTATTAAGAATAGTCAAAAAGTTTATATTGCAAGGTCCTCTTTTAGGCTGAATATTATTTTAACGAACAGGTCACTGGTTTTCTTCATTTATAGATGTCAATCTATTTAATAGCATAAGGTACGGCTCCAAAATAATCAATTAACCAAATGGTATTAAACGTGATTTCTACGTTTAGTAATCGAATTCTAGTGAGCTCGCTGCTTATCTTCGATGGCAAACGAATATTGATTGATATTCCGAGGGAGTGGCCAGTCTAGATAATACCCCACCTATCATAAATCTTGTTTATCAACACGTTTTTAAAATGTCATTCCACCGTATAGCGTTATCGGAAGCCTTTTTTTTTATAAGCGCCCTTCTGGAACTAGCCTTGACTTACATTTTTATTAAGATAACAGAACCAGTTTAATAGAAATGTGATTAATAAATGAAATATAACTAATATTTTATTTTTTATTAAATTATTATTTTAGAAAATTTATTTAAATCACAGTTCTGGTCTATGTATTAAATTGGAAAATACTTCTTTTTATTAACAGCTAAGAGACAGTTGCTGTTAAATTTTAATAAGGCATACAAATTGAAATAGATTGGATCCACTCTGAGGGCTTTGAAGCAGTGGCTGAGAGCAACTCGTTGTGACAGGTTCGACGGCAGGTGACGGAACAAAATAAAAGCAAACAAATTTGAGTTTTTTTTTTGTGTTGATAAACAACCTGCGCATATGCAAGCTAAGCAGAGTATCGCTCAAATTTTTGTATATTGGAAACAATCAGGTGTGCTATTCCTACTACTTAGAGTTTGATTATTCTGAAAGACCAGTTGTTCGTGCTTTCCATTTATAATTTTCGGCTTTAACTACTTTGCCTTTTAAAATTTAAATGTTATTCAGCTTAATAAGATGCAGCAGAATTTATGTGAAAACGGAATTATATAAAATTTCACAAATTATGGTAAATTATTTGGGTTGGTACGGTTAAGAAAACGGAAATATGATACAAATGTTAAATAAAAGTGACATAAATATTAAGGGATGCTAAGATGTTGTGAAAATAAATTTCTGTTTATTAGAAAATTATATTTCAATGTTGTACATGTACCAAGATTATTTAATGTTACTTATCCAGTAATCAGCAAACAGTAGCGCTTAAAAATTATTCATATCATTTCAAACCGGTACTTGAGATAATTTATACTAATTGGGCGACTGACATTGCCTTTGTTAAAAATTTGATTAGTTTATTATTGCACAAAATCAGTGACAATTATATACCTATATTCTAAAATTGTTCAATTTAGAAGAGCACAGAGAAAGCTTATCAGTTTTGAATTTATGGTGCAACATACCAGAACCGGTCGAAACCTTATCGAAACTTGGGAATATAAGTGTACCAATGTGCAATGTAGGTACAAATAATATATTCCATTCATCGAATACAGTTTTACATTTAGAAGTCCCATAAAAATAGAGAACCCATATTTACAGCCAGTAAAGCTTTGATGAATTAGCTCTCAAGTGACCCAGTGAGATCTTTAGAAACCGGTACTTGGGTTAATTTACACTATTTCTGGGTTTGCTGAGCGTTCGCATATCAGGTTGCTTATCAGTTCGCGTCCGACGCTCGACGACTTCGCTTCGCTTTTAGGTTTTTGCATTGAGTCAATAACATTTATTTGACCGCCAAGGTGATTAGAGGCGTCTGTGACGGAGGCGGCGACTTGGAAATGTCATCCGGACCGTATTTTGTGGGCGTGGACGTGGGCACGGGCAGTGCGAGGGCGGCGCTGGTGGCATCCGATGGGCGTGTCCTGGAGCAGGCGGTGCAGACGATCAAAACTTGGAACCCAGAGCCGGGCTACTACAACCAGTCATCCGATAATATTTGGCAATCCATCTGTCAGGTGGTGAAGGTAAGTCATCTATATCACATAATTGCCAGGTAGTTTTTATGATAAAATAACTTGATCCTGAGATTCACATAAAGTAAATACAAAATGTCTGCTATAAATACAAATTTAAAAAAAAAGTTTAAAAATAATTTAAAATTTTTTGTACAAAATCAAAAAGAATATTGAGATATAGTAACTTAATTATCCTGTTAATTTCAAAAACATTTTTATTTGAAAATACAAGAACATAATCAAAAATATTAACCTTAAATTTTATAAAATCCTAGGAAACTATCACTAATCCCTAACGTTAAAAGAAATATAAAATCGCAAATATGAGGAACTTTATAAGAACTAATATTTGGATCTATAAACATCTTATTTTTGCTCTGTCTGATAACCTCTGTCGTTCGGCGACGTTTCTCGACGAGATTAGATTAACCCAATGCTGATTTTACAGAAAGTCATCGCTGGCGTCGATAAGTCAGAAGTCAAGGGCATTGGCTTTGATGCCACCTGCTCCTTGGTGGTCCTGGGTCCCCAAGGATCGCCCCTGACTGTGAGCAAATCCGGTGAGACGGAGCAGAACATAATCCTCTGGATGGATCATCGTGCCGAGCAGGAAACCCAGGAGATAAATGCATTTAAAAATCCTCTGCTGAAGTATGTGGGTGGTCAGGTGTCGCTGGAGATGGAGGTCCCAAAGCTGCTCTGGCTGAAGAGGAACCTTTCGAAGACCTTTGGCAATATCTGGAGGGTTTTTGATCTGCCCGACTTCCTAACCTGGCGAGCAACTGGTGTGGATACCCGTTCACTGTGCTCTGTGGTTTGCAAGTGGAACTACGATGCTGCGAATAACAGCTGGAACAAGGAGTTCCTCAAGCAGGCTGACTTGGAGGAGTTGACCCAGAACAACTTCGAGAGGCTGGGCAGTGATGTCCAGCCTCCGGGTAGAAAGGTGGGCAAAGGTCTTACAGCCAAAGCTGCCGGAGAATTGGGCTTATCCGCTGGAACTGTGGTCAGCACCTCCCTTATCGATGCCCATGCTGGTGCCCTGGGAATGTTTGGCTGCCGTTCCAAGGAATCCAAGGGCTCCGATGATGTCCAGGGTAAGATGGCACTGATTGCCGGTACCTCAACCTGCCATATGAGCATCACCCGGAAGGCCTGTTTCGCCCAGGGCATTTGGGGTCCCTACCAGGATGCCATAATACCTGGATATTTCCTAAACGAAGGTGGTCAGAGCATTGCGGGACATCTCCTGGACCATGTCCTTAAGTCCCATGAATCCTATGCCGAACTGAAAGAGAAACTGGGCGAGGATAAGTTTATCTATCAGCATCTCAACAAGTTGCTGCCGGAACTGGCAGTTGCTCGAGGATTGAGTCAGGTGGGATGCCTTACCCAGGATATCCATGTCTGGCCCGATTTACATGGCAATCGTTCGCCCATCGCCGATCCAACGCTGCGTGGAGTGGTAAGTGATCTCTTTTAAACTTATTGGTTATAAGTTAACCTAAAAATATTTTTTTAAAGATCACTGGCTTGGATATGACGCGAGGAACTGAATCTCTGGCCATCAAGTACTTGGCGTTCGTTCAAGCTCTGGCTGTAAGTTGTATCCTAATATATTATGTTATAACTATGATATTCAATTTATGATTTTTATTTTTTTTAGTATGGCACCCGTCACATTATCGAGAACCTTTTTCAGTACGATAGAGCGCCTTTTCAAACGCTCCTTTTCTGTGGAGGACTGGCCAAGAATCCTTTGTATGTGCAATGCCACGCGGATATTTGCAACCTGCCCGGCTTGATTCCAGATGAACAGGAAATGGTTTTGGTGGGAGCTGCTGCCCTGGGAGCCGCTGCCTCAGGTCACTTTGACAGCTTGGAGGTGAGCTTATAAAATATTCCTATGATCTAACTGGTTTACAAACTACTTTTTGTGCTCTCAGAGCGCCTCGAAAGCCATGGGTGGTACTGGCCAGCTTGTAAAGCCAAACTCTGAAACCATAGAGTTCCACAACCGCAAATACAAAGTGTTCCTACAGCTACTGGAAAACCAACGTCAGTACCGCCGAATTATGCAGGGAGAATCCAATTAATGTTAACTTTTCGATGTGAAGACTTTAAATAATTTTAAAATAAATGCCGTACACGAGCATTGTAACAAAATAATAAGTTTGGCGCGCACAGGTACAAGGTGATCTTGTTGGCATTCGGCTGATATCTAGGCGATGAAGGCGGCTGCCTTAGAGGCGATATTACCGCGACACACGGGGCAGGAGATGGAGATTTTCTGGGCGCAGTCCTCGCAGAGACATACGTGACCACAGGGCAGTAGGATAACCTAAAAGGAAGAATTTGGTAATTAGCTCATAAAGTCATATACATATCATATTAAGTACGTAGAGTATACAGGGTGGAAAGTTTTTTAAAATTATCGACAGCAGTAAAATCGGTATTTTTAAAAGGCCTTATCTTGCGATTAATTTATATGATACCCTTTTGATAAACTCATAAAACACTTAAAAGAACAGAAATATATAAGGTGTATAAATCTAAAGCATTAATTAATAATAAGGAGAAATTAAAGACTTATCTCAACTTGCAAACTCAAGTACTATGCCATTTGTCCTATTACTTAAAGATACTCCAAACTTCAAGAGATTTGTTTAAACTCGATAAAAATGGTTCACGGGAAGAATAAGTTTCAACTTCGTTATATAAGCTGATCAACAATTTTGGAAAGTTCGACCGAATGATTATTACTATAATCACCTCTTTGGGGTTGGTGGAGCAGACTACGCAGAGCTGATCCTGGGAGAGAGTGTGAGGACGACTCCTCGCTCGTCGTTCCCGGCGCTCCGTCTCCAGGCGATTGCGTATTTTGGCCTCCTCTCGTTCCTGTTTCCTCTTTCGGTAGTACTTCTTGGCAATAACGGCTACCAGGATGGCAGAGATGGTGCTACAAAAAAGCAGCTTGAGTCTGGAAGGGATTGTTATGATGGTTATTGTAATACTTTATATACAAAAAGTAAGTACTACCCACATCGTGGCTGCCTTAGCATCTTCGAACCGTTTGATGAGCGTGGACTTGGTGGCGGTGGTCAGGAAAAGGGGACCCTCCTTGGAGGGCTGCATGCGCAGCGTATTGCCGTCCAATTCTAGTTCACCAATGGCGGTCAGGAAGCTGCCCTCCCTCAGGACCTCCTCTGTTGTTTGTAGTCCCCTCTGACGAACGCCGGAGAAGAAACCAAACAGATGGTCGAATAAGGACAGACTGGAGGGCTCGTAGTTGTCATAGACCATGTCCACGTCCAAAACAGCTGCACTCAAGGCGTCCACAATCTCCACACCGTGTTGTTGGTTGCGTAACTCAAAGGGCATCTCGTTGGCGGACTCGTGGATCAGCTTGTGGTGCTCAGTCCAGAAGCCAGCGAATCCCCGGGTGATTCTGTGCTCGTGCAGCTTCACAATCTGCAGGACACCACTGACACTGGGCACCAGGCTACTCTTCAGGGGAACCCCAAGGGGGGTTACTGTTCCCCGGATTACCGCATATGGTATCTTCTTGTCGCGCTGCCGCTCCACCACCGATTTCAGATCCCCATCGATGTTGTATTGCGGTGCCGCCTGTAAAGTAACTCATTAAATATTACCCATCCTTGCATATCAAGTATACGTACCTTTAGCACCTGGGCAGTGCGCTTGTAGTGCACATACTCCCGCGCACATATACCTATTATTATCAAATCCACGCCCAGCGCAATCGATTCGTGTAAAAATTCCATATTTTGATATGTTATTTACCCTATTATAAACATCTGTTTTATTAGTGTGGCTGTGTTTTCGTTTGCGAGTTTAGGCAGTGACAACGTGATGAAAATACAGTTGTTCGAAATTTTCTTCCGTTCTTATGGAACTAGTTCATATGGTAAATCACAGCGGTTTCCTGCGAAACGGTAACACTTTTATTTAAATTTTGGCGCCACAGGTAAAAGTATGAGCGGCAGACGGTTTCATGAAATGAACATTATTTTAGTTTTATTTTAAAGACAAAGCTACCATGTTAAGCTATACAAAATAGATAAAGAAAGTCGTAATTTTTATTTAGGCGGCCGATGGTCATTTTAATAAATTGAATGGGATCATATAAAGGAAAATTCGTCATTTTGATGGGTTCTAGGTGATAAAGGCGGCTGCCTTAGAGGCGATTTTACCACGACACACAGGACAGGACTTTGAGATTTTTTGGGCGCAGTCCTCGCAGAGACATACATGACCACATGGAAGTAAAATTATCTGCGGTGAATATTATTAAATAACAATTCTTATAGAAAGACGATTAAGACAACAAAAAATTAAACTTCAATAACGTTTTTTCAAGACCTAAGACTAGTTACCTCTTTGGGGTTGGTAGAACACACCACGCAGATCTGATCCTTGGATAAGTTATCTGGAAGATTCCTCCTTCGCTCGGTTCTCAGTCGATTGCTAATTGTGACCTCCTCTGCTTTAATTTTTATCATCCTGTAAATCTTCCTTGAAACAAAAGCTATGAGGATAACAGAAATTGTACTGCACACAAGCAGCTTAAGTCTAAGGAGTAGTAAGAATATATAATAATAAGAATATATATTTAGGGCAATTCCTGATATACCCACATAATGGACCTATTGGCATCTTCCAATCTCTTGATGAGTGTGGATTTGGTGGCGGTGGTTAGGAGAATAGGTCCTTGTTGTGATGGCTTCATGAGCAGAGTATCACCATCCATTTCCAATTCTCCAATGGCGGTGAGAAAGCTTCCTTTCCCTAAGACCACCTCGGTGGTTTGAAATCCCTTTTGGCGAGCCCCGGAGAAGAAACCATATATATAGTCCAAAACCGAAAGGGAGGAAGGTTCAAAGTTATCATAGACCGTATCCACGTCCAAAAAAGATGCCCTCAAAGTATCTACAATCTGTACGCTATGCTCTTGGTTGCGCAACTCAAAAGGCATTTCGTTGGTGGACTCATGGAGTAACTGGTGATGATCTTTCCATAAGCCAGTGATTCCCCGGATTATCCTGTGCTCATGAAGCTTTACAATCTGGAGGACACCACTTACACTGGGCGAACTCTGGAGGGGATCTCCAATGGAGATTACTGTTCCCCGAATCACAGCATAAGGAATCTTCTTGCCAGGCTGCCGTTCTACTAGGGTTTTCAACTTTTCATCGATTTTATATTGTGGTGCCGACTGTAAGAAAAGCCCATTAAATCATACGTATATTTAATGCTAAATATTAAGTATACGCAGTATACGCACCCTTAACATGTGGGAAGCTCGTTTGCAATGCACATACTCGCGAACACAAAACCCCAGTAGAATTAAATCTATTCCAACTGCAATACAATCGTTAAAAAGTTCCATGTTTTGATTTTTCAGTGACGCGAAAACGAGTTTTATATATGAATCCAATAATTTTGACGACCTTAATAAAGGGTACTTGGTTAGATCATGATATAGTTATAATTCTTAAAATTAGGTGAACAAAATTGTCCATCACCTTTCCATTTCAAATTTACATTTTTGTTTGCTTTTACAAAATCGTTTATTAAGTAATGCCTTAAAAACTAAATATTAAAAACTGAGTATTTTTATGGCTTGCCAATAATATTGTCGATGGTAAATAATGTAGTCTTTGATCGATTGTTTGCCACTGTGGATGTGTTGGCTGCAGGACTACTGAAAGATGCACCCATCACATCCTTGAGTTCTCGAAAAGAATCACCAGAGGAAGTGGTTTCCCGACGATTGAGTGGGGGACTGAAGGCGCTTGGGGAATGTAATTCCTCGTGAAATTCCATGGGACAATGAACTGTTTTACTGGAACTGCAGGAGGCGTCCACATCATCTGAGGATTCTCTGATTTCGGTGAGGGAAGAACTGGGTAAAGCTCGAATTCCCCTGGCCTCATTGTTGAACAGACTGTTGAAACCCAGAGATACGGACAAGTACTGCCTGTGAAGATCCGTAATCCTATCCGAATAATTGGGTCTTTCGTTGCAGAAGATATCGAAATCATTCAGCGGTTCGCTGGGTGAATGAATCTCTGCTGTACTATGGTTACCGTCGTTGGAATCCTGAAAGATGATGGAGAAATCAATATTTTATTTGAATTCTTTTGGTGCTTTTTAAAAAAATATATTTACCTTTCCCGATTCCCTTTCGTATCTATTTGAGTTGGCGCAATGCCTTTGCCTACGCGTCCTCCTTCGTCGGTAGTTTCCCTGCTCGAACATATCCGATGCCGAGGAGTCCAACATCCAATAGCTTCCCTTACCAGCGCTATCATTGTCCTCGATCGTGTTTTTATCCCTCGGAACCTTCACGAAGCAGTCATTTAGGGACAAATTGTGTCGGATTGAGTTCTGCCAGCCCTGCTTGTTCTCCCTGTAGTAAGGAAATCTAAAAAAACAATGTTTGTTAAAATTTAAAAAATATGTTGTATTTTTACAGATAAAATATATATTTCAAGATGATAAATTCCAAACAAATCTTTATTACCATTTAGTTTATTTTAACCAAACGATTTCGAAAAGCATAAAAACAATAGACTGTGTTTATGAAAAATGGGCAAAACATTTTAAACAAATAATGATCCATACGAAAATTACGAAATATATATTTATATTAATCTGTCTGTAAATATTATTTGAATAGGTTAAAAACATTTTTATATCTGTACATACAACAAAAAATAAGATTCAAAATTAAACAAAAGTTTTTTCTGTACATATTTAAGTAAACAAATCATTTTACAATTCGGAACTTTTTTGTATTGATACACATCTTATTAGTCAATATCTATGTTTTCCATTAAGTTTGTTTAAACGAAGCGATTTGAAAAGGCAATAAAAATAATATTTGTTTGTGTTGATAAAGAAATCGGAAATATTTAGTTTACAAACAAATGAAGTCATGGCTCTCATTCTTGTATATTCCAATATGAGCGCTTTATTTAAAATATTTGACCGCCATTTTTGAAAAATTTGAGTTTATAAGGAAAAGAAAATTGTGAAATATATAAGATATACGCAAAAACGTTTTATAAAATATTTTTTCAAAGATATGACCAATAAATTTAAGTCAAGAAATGGAACGGTTTTTAAAGAAATAAATATATGATCAAGAAATCTTCATTATATTTATATATTTTTCACACACAAAAAAATAGAATCTTCTTCAATATTTCAACGATTTAATCCTAGTCTTGGCATATGTTTCGACAACTGTTTTGAAATGCGTCTCGGGATAAAAACCCTCTTCAGGTTCTTGGAATGTTGCGATTGTTTATTTTGGCATTTGATTTAGTCAAGACTGTCATCTAAATATCTCTTGACTTTCGTCATGGCAGAACATTTAATTTTCTTGGGATTAAAAAAAACAAAAACTTAAGCAGAATATATATAGAATGTTTTAGACACAGATTAAGAGTAAAATAATCTATTTAAACATTTTGAAAATGTAAATTAGCATTAAACAAATTCCAAATAGTGAAGAAACTTAAGTTTCTGATATTATACTATTTGCCATACTGAATACATTGAAAAGCCATTTTTATTTGATTGAGGAAAGTGAAATAACAAACTTTCTTTAAAAATATATTCATCTGAACTTACTTGTCCATGATAAACTTGTAGATTCCACTGAGTGTTAATCGCTGGTTAGGAGCACTGCTTATGGCCATGGCAATAAGCGCAATGTAGGAAAACGGGGGCTTTTCCGGTCGATGGGAGTTATGAAGGAAGGATATGGGCAAGCCCCAGATATTGTTATGCAGGGCCAGGAAATTATCGATTCCCTGGTAGTAGAAAGCGGGAGAGAACGATCCGCACATCAGACCCTCCATTCCCACACCTCCGACGGCACTTGGACCCAATGGATTCGGGGATACTTGGGCCCTGAGATATTCAGGATTGGAGAGTAGGGAATGAACAAGCTCCTCATTATCCGGCAGCACCGATCCATTGGTATAGCAAGATGGTAACATTTTATAACTGAGTTCCTTGTTCTTTAAAATCGACTGAAATTTTCAGTTGTATAATTTTAGGTTTTTCCGTTTTTTAACTTTAGAAAACCTTGTTTTAAACTTCACTTCACTTAATATTTAATAGATTTTATAGGATCTTGGTCCTGTTTCTCGGAAAGATATTATATCCTAAGTTGTGGGTGTTACTTGCGCGGCTATTTGACTATTCGTACCGTCAGCCAAGAAGTCCGATCGACTAATGAGTGAACTCGGATACGCAGATCACTTGTAATGCCTCATCCAGTACTCGTTTGCATGTGTTTTTGGGGAGAGCAGCGTATTGGTCTATAAATATAGAGATATGCAAACACCCTCACCAAAAGATCCACTTATGTTTTTGTTCTCAGAGAGAGAAAAGGCAATTTTTCCTGGGAAATCCGTATATTTAAGGATTGCTTTTGATAAACTTTTTTTAAGAATAAGGACTCTTCTTAAAAATTTAATTATTTGTATAATATGTATGCATTTTTATTAATCTTTATTCATAGATAATATGTAATTTGTTAATATAAGCAGCAACACAATTAAATGTTTAGTTTATGACATCATTACTATTTAAATATCGATGTTATTTTATTATTTTTCCAGTTATTTCGCTATAAAACTGATCTCCAAAATTTGTTCTTTTTGAGGGGGCGTTGCTTAAAAATATAGACTCTGCTCTTTCCATGTTTATTTGTGTCCATGTGTTCAAAACGATATGCGTCTCTCATTTGTCTGTATTTTCCACGATGGGCGGAGTCAAGATCTTTTCTACGTGTGTGTGTGGATGAGTGAGAGTTTCCAATGTGTTTTGAATAATATGTAAATTTGATTTTTCAACAAATGAAAATCGAGCAAAGCTTACACATGAACTATAGGCATTTTTAAGGAATTTTTTGAAAAGTTTTAAATAAATTACAGTCTGAACAGTAATAAATGTAAGTAATTTAATGTGATCCCCTTATAAAAGGGTTATGGCTGATTTATTTTTTATTTTAAGTAATATTTGAAAATTTATCTGTGAACATTTTTTTCTAATACCTGAAGGATTTTTTCTTTAAGGTATTATGTGGATGACATCATGCGCCGATTTATTATTTTAAATTAATATTTACGATTCATATATGTATATCTTCATGTAAATATATTATTTAACTTTTAAAATTACCGGATAATATCATTGACGTTGTTTCTCTTTTGTGCATATTTGCTATTTATTAAAATAATACGTTGGACATATATGTTATACAGAATTTAATTCATTTAAGTCTCTTCAAACAAAACAAAAGCAAAAGTTTTGATAACCTCTCCATTCAATTGGTTTGTAAACATTATTTAAATAAAATATTTCCAAGAAGCACTTCGTTTAAACATTAAACCGGATAACAGCTGCCCAAGATAATGCCAGAAGGCTGCATTATCTAGTCCCTTGACATTGCTATCTCGTAGAATTTCCCTTCCGATTTTTACGACTTTTCCGAGCGAAAGAAAGCAAGAGTAAACTCTGCAGTCAAGTACGCAATTTTCTCAAAGCAACAGCAAAGTCTTGGTCTATATCTTAAAAGGTCGTAAAATAATTGTGTATACATTTCAAACAGGACTACGATCGATTTTTACGATCGTTTCGTTCTCAAGTAGAAAGCAGAGATCATTTGAAAGAAATAAAAACATTGAACGCAAATCGAAAATACCGAATACCGAGGCAATTGAAGTTGCATAGCAGCGATATATGGATTCACATGTGTGGAAGATGCCACAAAGGATTCTTCACGCTCTCTCCCGATTTATTCAAATTTTACGATCGCTTACCGCTGGTAAAAATGGGTCATAAAACAATGGGTTATCCTATGGCCTCTGATCCTCTGATTTTCAGATTTTCTCGGGAGATGTCGCTGGCCTTGTGTGTTTTGCTTGCTTATTTTTAGACCTATGCTGGGAATAGTATTGGAAACAAATATTGTTTTTTATGGCTCAGCTCGGTTTGGTTTTGTTCTCGAAATGAATTCTAATGTTTTTCGTTCAGAAACAATGTTTTCCTTTGGGTTCCCTATTTTTTTTTTTTGACGTATCGGTCGCACTAAGCCATAAAACGCCTCGGATCTTGTTTGTTTAGTCGCCGCTCCCGACCGCAACTTAATCGCTGTGTGTAATTGCATAGTTATAGTTTAGTGCGTGACTACCGATGTTGTTGTTCCCGTTGTCATCGCTTGATTTATGCTCTGAACTCCCTGTTTTGATCTGAGACACAGATGAACAGAAATACAGTAGAGCTTTTAGATAAGGAATATGTCTTTGGATTTTCTTATACTTAAGAGAAATTTATGGTGATTTTCTTAAATTATATTTATATATATTCTCCAGTTTGTAAAAGAATTTTTGTTATAATTTTATCAAAGTACTAAAGTACATTAAATTTGTTTTACTGTAAAGACTGTATTTTGAATATTTGTAGTATTTTAAAATCCCGATAATTATATTTATTTTATAAAAATGTTCAAAGATTAGATCAATTTGTATAATTTAAGTTCCCATTATTTTTACAATATTATTACATTTTAAAAGGATATTTAAAAATATTTTGTGTGTATTAAAAAATCAATTATGCAAATGAATACTTTGTAGCTTGGACTCATCGTACATCCGAACCGTTTTTTTATAGAAGCTGCACTGTATGATCTTTGATTTTAGGCACACTTGAGGAAAAATGCACTTGGGTCCCCAGTCGACACCTTGTCAAAATTTGATTTAATCACTCGACACTCCCGTTTGCCCCGGAGATCAAAGACAACAAATCATCGATCAGTGCGGATTTGCGGCTGTGCTCAACAAGCAGTGATTTGTCAAAATTCGATGGGGTGCCACATAATGCCCCATGCCCCCAGAATCGGAAGCCCCCGTTTATTGGAAGGCATTAACATGTAGTAGGGCCCTATTTATAGGCGCCGTAAAATGCAGCACGGACTATTAGGAGATGAGGGTGCTGTTGCCGTGTTGTTTGACAACAAATAGCGAGGACCGCACCGCAGAGCTGGGCCCCTTCGTTCCACATCATTGACAGCAAATTATCCACATTACCTGAATTGTCAGGACCGCTCTTTGCCCATTAGCCATTACGGCGGTGTGAACGTGACCTTTGCTGGCCATTAAATGGCACACTCAGCGTCCCGGAATCGGAAATTTATGCGATTCTTGACACTAGTTGCGTGGCTCTGCTCCATCCTCTCCAGCTTCTACAGCATCCCCATCCTCATCCTCGATGATAATGATGACTTTCGGAACGCCAGAAGATTTCTGAAATGAAATGCGTGAGCAATAAACTGGCTGTTGACCTGTGACGACGGGAATTTCCTTTGGCTTCCCTCTTCTTATTTGTTGGTAACAGGTGTTGGACACCCGAGTAATCGCGGCCATTTCGATTCGGCTCCTTGGCCAAAAGGGTTGGTGTTAATTAATGGCGGGTTTGAAGTCGATAGCGGTAAGCGAAAACCATAATTTATTTAGCCATTGAGTCTGCCGGCGAATGCAATTGATTTGTGTTTTGCAAACTTGTGCGGTTTCTAGGGTTTTGTCTTGGCAGGAGTGTAAGGTAAATGGTTGTTTTTACTTTGTCCTTTGAAATCATTCGATAAATAAAATATTTTTTATCAAAAAAACCTTTGTTTTCAGAGCTTGCAAATACAATTTATTAAATAAATAATCATATAAAAACTGTAAAATATATTTTCCTTAAAATTTAAAAATTATATCTTTTTTTATGTTAAGCTTTAAGAGTTGTTTAAGTATTTTCCATCTGCTAGAAAAAAATATATTTTGAAGAGAAAGAAATATTAAATAAGTTTCTAAGGCCAAGATAAGCTCTTACATTGAAGCAAACAAATAAGTCAAATAAAGTTTTAAAAATGCCCATGTTTTTCTGACTTTGATTCACTTAAAACTTGAACAATTTGTAGTATCTTCCCTCTGACAGCACCTCATTTGCACTTGAAAAACCTATAAATTGAGTGATAACTTCGCTGGCCCGCTATTTGGCATCTTCAAAAAGAGCAATCTATACACAAATCGAAAATGGCTGGCTTTCGAGTGGCCCCCCAACCAGGGGAATCTCATGGATTATTATTTCGTATTACTCATATTGATTTCCAGCCGCAAGAAAAGTTTGCTTTTGGAGGAGGGTGGGCCAAGAGAAAAAGGAGCTGGGCGGATGTGTTCGGCAGAAAAACATAAACCGAGGCACTCACATTGATTGCTTTGCCGGCCAAAATGAATCAAGTGGAAATGGAAATGTGAATGTGAATGAATTTCGCACGTTTTAAGTGCCAAATTATCGGCTACTCAACCGGCCAGCGAAAAGGAATATCAAACAGTTTGGCTGCACAGGTTTAAAAACAATAAACTTTCAACAGCAGCGCATTGGATGTTTGTTTATTTGTTTAAATTTAGAATATCGACCACATTAAAATAGCAACAGCTTCGAAAAGCCTCTCAAGTGGCCGGGCGGCCCATTAAACAGATTTCCAAGATGTATTACGGCCCGAAAGCGAAACCGAAGCCCCATTTTTCCCCATTTTTCATTTCCCATTTCACCGTATTTCACGGCCCTGCCTTGTTTTCAAGTTATTATTGGGGATATGTTGGGGTTGACCCCGCGGGTAATTTGCACTTCAAAGCGGCCCCCATGCAATCTGTTTATGCCATCAAGTGGGCCAGCTGGTGGCCCCCGAAAAGATCTATGGCATTTATGAGTAAGTGCGGCCTACCACGGGGATTCCTCGAGTGCCATGTGCTAATGAGCCGGCGATTCCCCAGGTTCCCCACGTTCTCTTCCCCCGACCGGCCCATCTAATTATCTCACATTATCCCGGGACCGGGCGTTAAGTGAAATAATCTGTGGCAAGTCTGTCTACGCACCTGACACGATGCCAATGGGCATTATTACCTTCCGTTCCGATTCCATCATCGATCCTTGTCGCCGGCATAAAGCAGCTGTCAAATCTCCAGTTGACAGCCACTTTCATTTCGATGCATTATTAAAATACAGGCAGTGGCAACATCCTGACAACTCCCCAAGGACCTGCACTGCGCGAAAATGGATGCGGCAATGTATTTTTTTTTTTAAGAACCGTTTTTTAATCTTAAAGAAAGCTTCATAGATATTTATAAACTAGACATTTATAGTGCCTATTTCGAAGCCATAATAAATAAGAAATTATAGGTAGTATACTCGAGTTTCACAAACAAACAAAGCCAAGTAGGTGCAGGCATTGTTGAAGTAGCCCCATGATTTATAGTTGGCATAAGCTCCGCACAGTTCATTGGTATTCGAACTTGGTTGATCTTTCCCCCAATAGGGGTAGGAAATCGGATCGCCAGTTTTGGACAAGACAAAACTGGGGTATTGTCCTAGGGAATCCAGTCCCATCCAAACGGAGGATCTCCAACTATCATTAAAGGACACTCCCTCATTCAAAAGGTAGGCGGTGGTGATGATCGCTTCGATTTCGTTATCGAACATCAAGAGACTGCCGCCAAGTTTCCGACATTGACGAGCGGCCACGTACCAGTTGACCTGATTAAAAAAATACTTTATTAAATACAGAATATAGGGATTTTCCTGATTCTGATTTCTGCCTTAGTTCTGGAAAGGTAAAGACACTTGTCGCCCACCGGCGTAAATTTAGATGGACATAGCAGCGCTTGAAGACCGAAAACGAAGCCGAAGAAGGCCAAAATAAAGAGAACTTGCTTGACCATGTTAGAGTTGCACAAAACTTAAAGTTCTTGATGGGCTGTCTGTTTTATACCACATTTGATTCAAGTAAATAGAGCCTTATCTCTTATAAACCTTTAAATTCTAATGAAATATCTTGAGTATGATTTTATGATTAGATTTGATTCCGGCACTAAAAAGATAGCGTTTCCGACACTTAAAATTAAGTGGTCATACTTACACGAAACTGGTTTTGGTTAACCTAGAACAGTGGTGTAATAAGTTTAGAAAATGTTGTGCAAAAAAGTATGGTAAAATTTCCCTATAGTGTCCTTACAAATTTCACTCATAAAATATTTTACTTAAAAATCATGGTATAAACTAAATTACTATTTTCCAAATTAGTATCCATTTAAATTGTACTCATCGTTTAAAAACTATGAACAAGAAATTGAAAAGTTCCTCTACAAATAGAAACCCGTTTCTCTGAGTGCACCTTGCAACATACTCCTGCCACCTCACCTTTTGGGGCAGCCAGGTGGGCGAGGGGGTGGGGCTGGGCCGGAGCAACAGCAAAACCCATGGCCCGTCGCAGACATCTTGGCGACTGTCGGAGCCAAACGCTTGTTTATTTTTCATGGGAAAGTCAGCCAACAAGGGGGAGGTGGGTTGGAAAATTCTCTGTTGCTGCTGCACTTGTTTGTATGTAAATACAAGTAGGCAAAACTTCATGCGGTGCTCATATACCATCCATATTCCATGGGGCATGGAGAACGGAGTCCGGAACACACGCATCGCGTCAGCAACGACGCAACAAAGGCACGTGTAAACAAGTAGGGCTGGCTTCCCTTTCCCTTTCCCTTTTCCCAAAGTCCCCATCAGAGTACCAGAGAATCCCCAACCCACTCACCACAATTGGGGATATAACAGCAATGCGTTGCGGCGGCACTTGTTGCCACATCGAAGTTTCTATACCCTCCAGGCGATCGGAGGGCAAGGAACAAAGAGCCCGGCACTAACTTCCCACGGGAGATTCAATTTGGTGGCGAAACTTGGCCTAAACAGATAAGAACCGGGCTCTATCCGCTTTCAGCAGCTGGAACTTTCGGTTTGAGGGGTTACCAAAAAGCAGCTTGAAGGGAAATAACTAAATACTTCAATTTTATTGTGTTAGAAACTTACTTAAGATAATTTTCATAAAATATTTGAGATTATTTTACTTAAGCCAGGTTAAGTTTATATAAATATAAATGATAGAACAACAAAGTTGCAAATATCAGAAGTATATTTTAAAAGCTCTTGAAAAGGTTTTTCAAAAACTGCTTTCATATATTTAGTTACCAAAATTGTGCTCAAATATAAGACGAACTTTATCATAACTTTTCAAGCGTTTGCAATTTCACTAAGTATTTTTATATTGACCTGAAGCGGTTTTTATGACCTACAAGAAACCGCCAGGCAGCATAAATTTCAGTTAGGAAAATAACTCCAAAAGTTTGTAAATTGCGAGCGACCTTTGCGCCAAATAGTCAGTATTGACCCCCATTTGGTATCAGTTTTTTCTTCCCGCCTGAGTGGTAAAAGTCTGGAGACTGGGAAATGCCAGAGTTCACCACAAAACTGTTCGCACCCGCTGGCGAAGAGTGCATAATAAAAAGGGCATCTACGTATGAATATTTTTTATACTTTTATACGAATGCAGGCCGTCAAGGCGTGGCGCGGCAGACAGAGTGGCGTCAAAAGTTGCCCGACTTTTGGTATGGGGGCTCTATACTACACGTAGGATGGAAGTACGTGCATCGTACAGCCGGGGAGGGGAACAGGGAATAAGGGGGCTCTGAATGTTATGAAAACAACGGCAGCCAAAAACCACTTGGCACGGGCCGCACCTCGTTGTAAACCCAATGGTAAATGGTCGACAGTTTGATATGCGGTTTGGCAGAGCCAGCAAAATATCAGTTTGAACGGAACCGAAAACCGTATACGTAGACCTCGAGGAAAGAAGAAGCTGCTGATTTAATTTACCATGGCCGAGTTTCTGGTTTTTCGAAGTTTTTGAGTTTTTGGTGAAATTGTGGGTGGTCGAGGTAAAACCCAGCTCCCGTCAAATGTTTACAAGCAAATATGCCACATCATCAGGGGAACTAAGCAGGCTTTCTTTCTTTCGTTGTCTCTTCAGATGGAATTTATAGATTTCTTCGCTGGCTAAGCCGCGAAATCGGGGGAAGAATACAATAAGTTGGAATTCGCTTTGATCTTTTCGCACTTTTAAATGTTTGAGAAATCTTTGTAGAAGGCATGAATCGGATTTCGGAGAACCAATAAAAAATTAATGGCAGACCGTCTGTTGTTGTTGTTCTTGTTGTTACTGTGGCCGCTGTTTTCTTCGGCTGTTATTTGTTTTTTAAATTTTCTGTTTGATAAAGCGCACCACAAACAAAATGGGTGGTGGTGGCGAAAATAAATCCTCCACCCCTCCCTCAGGAGAAAAAAAAACGAGAAGAAATAAATACGTGTGAGGGCACCGAGATGTGCAACTAGTTCAGTGGAAAAACCAGCAAATGGCCTTCCCCCGCCCCATTTTCCATTTTCCCTACCCGCCTCTCAGTCCCCCTGATTTACATTTGATTCGATTGGAAGGCGGAAATCTTCGGCAATTGCAGATTAATGCCCTGACAGCTGCCTCCTGGCGAGAGTCCTGGCTTTCCTGCACACGGAAAGAAATATCTTTGGGATTGTAAAATTTCTAATTTTTCAGAAAACTATTTTCTCTGATAAATGCCCTTATAAACAGGCAATAATGATGGACTATAATTAATAATATGTAAACCATTATCCGTTACACAAAATATTTTTTCAAATTTAGACTTTAAAGATCATATACGAAGGGTTTTTATCCGAAATTTCCTTATAACCTATTTATTTTTTTAGCCTAAATATTTGTATATATTATTATTGTTAAAGAACAATATCAAAAAAGTCACGTAATTTCTTTAGAAAACATGTTTTTTTATTTTTTCATTTTTCCTCTGTAGGTATATAACTTATTTTAGAACTTACAAATATTTTTTTAAGTGCCCCTGTCGTTCCTGGCTCTTCTCAGGTGTCAGGATACTTTGCGCTGATTAGATAAACATTTTGGGGAAATGTGTTAAGCCTTGTTTGGCTTTTGTTTTCGGCCTCCAGGAGGTTGGCCCCGCCGATTGCCTTTAAAGCCAACTTTCTGCGGGCCAGCAGAGCGCTGCGCAAATGGCATTTTTATTGAGCCATTAAAATTTTCGCCTCGCCTTCGATGCCTTCCCCTTCTTACATATATCCTGAGTACCTATTTTGGTATCCTGGAACCCGTAAGATGGCCATATCTGGCGGCCAGGACGTTTTGTCCCCCGGCTCCCCGCCAGCATTTTGATTAACGTGCTACTGATGCTCGTTTGCTGCGTTGTTTTTTCTAGGTTTTTTTTTATTTGCCCGCAAAAATCCCACCTAAGGGGATAAAGTTGTGAAATATTTTGGGATTTGCGCGACTTAGGAGTTGTCCCATTCCCATTCCTATGCCCATTCCTTGGCGCTCTAGGTGATTAGGCAGCAATCCATATTTCTTGCGGCCTGCGATGGCCAACCAACTGCTACCGTTTCCTATATATTTTATTTTCTATTTCGCGTAAAGATTTATGTACATATTTGCCTTGGCTTTGGGTTTTTTGTTTTGAGTTTGAGTTGGGGAATTTGCCTCATTAGCTGCAGCCCTACGAAGTGCCCACCTTTCATTTCACCTGGGGGCTTGTGCGTGTGCTTATCACATGAATGTCATTACGCACCTTTCGGCCGGGGATCTTGGATCTGCCAACCCCACTCGGGCCATAACTTTTTGGCCCCCCAACCTAAGGGAGTGAAAGTGCGAATGCGAATCCGAATGGGAATACGTGAGTTCTGCAAGTTATGTGCGCGTAAGTGAATGAAATTACCGTAAGGCATTTAACCAATGCAGGGAAAGGCTCTTGGAATAGATACATAAATGACAATGCCGCAAAGCGTTTAAAGATGCCGCATAAAAACGCTGCCTGGGATTGCCAGGCGTTCAAATCCGCATCCCCATCTACATTTTCAACCTCATCCACATCCAGATATACACCATCCCCCTTCGGCTGACTGGTTGTCTTTTCACTCTGGAGAAGGCGCGCTTATCGTTTTGACAGGAATATCTGCGCTTTCTAAATGCCGACGCCGTCGTTTATGACGCTGACTGCTGCGCTTACGATTGAGTCTGAAAACCCCCTAACACCCCGTAGAACCCCACCACCCCGTTTTAGCCATCCTGAGGAACCTTCTTTTGTCGCCGTAAAAACGTGCTGTGCCTGGTTGTTACTTTAATGGCTTTTACTCCCCACGAATCCCGGAGTCGTCAGGCGAATTATGGAAGCTGCCGTCGCCGCCATCGCCAGCTCCTTTGCTATCGTCATCGCCGCCTTCGAGGCACTGAGAGAAAATCTGGATCAAAACGGGATATGTTTATGGAGAATACAAGACAAGTCTCTATTGAGAAATGCTGATCTGATACTAGCAATGCATTGATCATTGCAATGATGTCCTTATAACAAATGAATGATATCAAAAGAATATCATATTTAATATATCAAGTTATGGATCACCTTTCTTTCTTATAGTAAGCTGGGGGTCAGAATAACATATAATATGCTCTCATAACACAATTGGATCATAAATGGTTTTAATTTTGGCATCCTAACTCATTGAAGTGTATTATTAAAGAGTAATTTTTAGCATTTCTCCGAATTTATTTATCAGGAATTTAGTTAGATAGTTATCTATTTTTTATAGATAGTTATCTAACTACCTTTAAAATAGACATCCCACTTCAATAGGTCAAGGATACTAGATATAGATATTAGATATTAGCCACTTTAAAGAGTTGGTCTGCACACCTAAATTAAAAGGGAGAGTATAAGATTTAATAAGAATTGTTGTGGTGAGATCTTATGGTATGAAGTAAATAACATGATATGATGCTTTAGCAAAGATTTCCTTGAAGAATAGTTTCAGGAACACTAAAATAAGTATG